CTATTCCTGCTCACTTTAAGTGAGAATTTGGAGGAATATTAAAAAGATTCCCAAACTGTTGTGCAGCTGCAAATCAGTGCATCAAATGCTGGTGTATGTTGGAGGTTGTCTGCAAGTTGGCTACATCCCTGCAATGGAATGAGATTTGAGTCCAGTGGCACCTTTAATACCAACGAAGTTTAATTCTGAGTATAAGCTTTCATGTGCACACACCCTGTGCATCTGAAGAAGAATGCATGCACACGAAAGCTTATGTGCTGGGTCAGCCGGTAACCACGGATCCCATGCACTGGAAACTGGATACGCAGTCCGAAATCAAGTCGAGCAACAGAGCCGAAGGTCAGAAAGCCGGGAAATCAGTCAAAGGTTGCAGGAGCTAGGAGCAAGGAGCGGATGCTAACAGCCAGGATCAGGTCCGAGCATGCACGGTTGCTTCTGCACTGAGGCAGGTGCGTGAGGGTGTTTATGACCCACAAAAACTAAAACCACTACTTTTTGTGGGGGTCTCTTTCTTCCTCCTTTAGGTGACGTGCTAATAATGGATGAGTATGGCTACATGTTCTTCCGGGACCGCACCGGAGACACTTTTCGCTGGAAGGGCGAGAACGTCTCCACGACAGAGTTGGAGGGGACACTAAGTCGCATTCTCAGCATGACTGATGTTGTGGTTTATGGAGTGGAGGTGCCAGGTAAGGGATGATTCCTCTTTCTCCCCTCTTTCTCTTGCGTTTTGTTTCTCTTTTTAGTTTATATCGATAACTCTTTTGGTTATCAGTCGGTTTCTGGGCCCAATTCAGGGGGTTGGCTACGGATGCCAGCCTTCTAGGGTTCCCACATCTTATGTCCTTGCTTGTGGGGGGTGGGAGGAAGCTCTCCAGGAGTGTGGGGGGGCAAGGCAACGTCACCGTATGCCGGGGATGTTGCGCAGCACTGCTCTGGTATTTTGGGCAAAACTCTATGGTTTTACCATAGAGTTTAGTTCCAAATACCACAGTATCACTGTGCAATGTCCACTGTGTGATTATTATTTTTTTTGTCCGTCCTGGTTGTTGGCAACTCTCGTCTGGGAAGGCCAATGATGGCCAGGAACAAGCTGGCAGGAGCTCATGTTCCATCTGGCTCACATAAAGCTCACAGTGACAACCACCACAGCTGTAGCCAGCACTGCAGAGGCATAGACTGCAGGGGCCACGAGGAAATTCCTCCAGCATTGCTATGGAGGCCATTTTTCAGCCATTTTTTCTCTGGTTCCTGTATTTCTCAGGGGCAGGGGACTGGGGCTGAGGGTTCAAGTTATCCACGGAACCATCAAAGATCTCTGTTTTTCTAGATATCCCAGCATTTCACTTTGTTTCACAGTATTCACAATTCTGTAGCACTTACATTCTAGTTTAATTGTAATACACACACAGAGAGACACCCTTTTCCTAGTAATAGTAAGCTGATGAGACTTCCTGCTCCTCTAACAGAACTGCAGTCTCCATGTTCCCTGATGAGGAACAGTTGTTAACCTATATATACCCACAGTCTTTCCCATGCACCTGTAAGCAGCCTGGCACTCTTATTTGAGGGATTGGCGCAGCTTGGATGGCACAAATTGGGCTGATATGCAATGGTGCCATGGTGGCAGCCTATGGCTGTGGTCACACTGGAGGCTTGCTGCAATCTGGGCATGCTTCTAATTGCACTGGTTTAAAGGGTTGTGGGGCAGACCAATGAGACAGCACCCTGGGACAGTTTCCCTGCACACTCGTCTGGTGGTCAGGTTTTTACATTACTGCAGTGCCTCAACCATGGAGCACACTGCCTAGTCGTTTTTGTTTTAATGCAGGTGGGTGCATGCACATATGCACATATAGGCAACAACTCCAAAAAAAAAAAAACAACAGAGGGGGAAATGGATCTGTGGTTCAGACTTCCCTTTGTAAGTCAACCTTGCTCTGTGATGACAGCACAGATTCCAGAGAGGAAGAGCTACCTGCAGCTGGCCCTCTGCCAGTAATTGAACAACTGGCTGCAGCTGGCTCTGAGCCTGGCGAAGGGCAACAAGAGATCAGGTTACCATCTGAGCAGAAGTCCTAGCCTACAGCTGAAACTGAGCCAACGCCTTGTTGCTCTGAAGCAGTAAACATGCCCACCCAGCCCACCTAGCTCACCCACACCCCTACAATGCCGACACTGTCAGAGAGGTGAGCTGAGTTGCAGGAAAGGAGGAGGAATGCAAGACTCATGGCCCATCTTCAGCTGTCAACTGATGAGATGGATGAGTAGTTTCAGGATGTCTGCCAAGGAAGTCTGTGAAAGCTAGTCTGTGAAAGCCTGATTGTGCCTGAAAGCATTCAAGAGAATCCAAACCATACTCCGAAGCCAGAAGTAGCTTAAATGTCTATGCCTCAGCCAGGTGTCTGCTCTGTCTACCTGGAGCTCTGTGCTGCTGACCTGTTCTTTGAAACTGACCTGTAAATAAACAAATCTTCAGTGTAGCTCATATAAAAATCCTGCCTCAGGGATCTCCATATTCTATTTGTGCAGCACAAATCTTACCTCAGGGCAACAAATCCAAAGCCTATAGACTTGTTGCCTTTAGAATACCCGGCGGTAACTGAGGGGAAGGTTTACAGTTTGAACAAACCTGGTCCTCAGTTGGTAGAACAGGCCTGTCACAGATTGGTGCCATAGCAGTGTGATACAGACAAAAGGTTTCATGAAGTGTTACCCAAAGTGTTGAAATATAAATAAGTACTTAAGAAATTTTGTGAGGTAACAGTTTTGTCAAAATGCCTCCTATGCAAGTAAAAGCAGTTGAGAGGATTGAAGGTGAGTTTGTGGCTACAGAGGGATGGCGGTGAAGCTGAGGAGATGTGAATATTGATCAAGTAGAGATCTGGAAAATAAAGCAAGATATAGAACTAGCCCATTTAGCACAGGCAGAATGAAAATTAGAAAAAAGAAAAAGCACTTGAGACATTAAGATTAAGACAGAAAGTCCAAGAAAGGGAAATGGAATTCAAAGCAGAAAGAGAGTTACAGTTAATCAGAATGGCACAAGAGGGAGAAGCCCAAAGGGAAATATAATTAAAAGAGAGAGAGAAGCCAAAGGCAGCATGAGATAAAATTAAATAAAAATGGAAGAATTATATTAATGCCTGAGTTGGGATATACTAGGCTAGGTGATAAAGCCTAATAAACTGATCAAAAGTAATTGCCAAAATTTCAAAAAGAAGACAACATTAAAGCTTTTTTTGTAAGCTGTAAAAGGATTTGTAAAGATTTCAAG